GCATAAGCTATAAGCACTTTCCCACAGCTCTACCAAACAGGGCCAATGTCCCTAATAATTACAGTCACACCATTCTGGTATGATAGCCGCCGCCACTGACAACCAGGAAACTGAGAACCCACTCTCCTCCTTAGCTCCCGGCTTCCCTCGTCTCTGGTTCTTCCGCTACCGGCGCTTGAGGTAGCCAGTCAATCTAGCTTGTTTTTCATACTCATAATCAATGTACATAGTATTTCTCTGAGATTGAGGGAGTTTGGAGAGGATTCGGAAGAGAAGATACATGGATGAGAGCTTTCTTGTTCTTGAGCCAGAGTTGAGACTAGCTCGGAGATTTCTCTGGTGAGCCAGAATTGGATCCCGATCTCACCGATAAACGATTCGAACAAGGAGAATCCTCATCTGGTCAACGCCGCTCCAGCGAAGATCGAGTCGATCGATGTGTCCCTGGTGGAGGAGCTGAGTGCGATCCGCCAAAAGATCGAACGGCTGAGATTGGATAAAGAGAAGACGGAGAAGATGCCAAGAGAGAGGCATTTGGTGATGGAGACGAATTTGAAGGAGATGGTGAAGAGAGGTGAGGTCCAGAAGCTGCTTGAGATCGAGGTCGATAGGTTGTTTCGGTTGAAGGAACTCAAATCTTCGTGCATGGCAAGAAAATGTTTGTTTGGTTACTCGAAAAATGCAAGCTCTGCTGAAGAAGAAGGTTGAGTTTGGGGATTTGGAGGAGTGGAAGAGAGCAGCGAGAGAGACACACAGAGCGTGAGATATATATCAAATTTCCCTGTGATAGATGGGAGGGACCTTAGCTATCAAAAAATAATATTGTGGACCTCTTCCATTACTAAAAATGAAAGAGGGACTTTAGGCTAATTTTCCCTAAAAAAATTGGGATCCATAATTTTATATTGATATATGAAGGAATAACATATAATTTAATATTTGTTGATTAATGGAGAATAAGAACACATCTTGTTCTTAGATCACCTACTAATTTTTTCAAATGTAGAGGTTGGGTATGATGACATCAGATAGCACTCCGTCTGAAACGTCAAAGATATACCCCTTAATTATCTTATTTATCAATTTATCAGTTTCTATTTTTCATTACAATTCCGCTACATAGCTCAAATTTTTCATGGTTCGAGTGGCCCGAAATATCAAAATGACGTCGTTTTGGAAATTTCCCCCCTCCCTTTTCTTCATCCTTTTTGTACGAGCACGAAATAATCTTCTCGTATAATCCTGTTAATCAAGTCTGCGCTCCTCCAAACGTCGTCACTTTTACTCCCTGAAAACACAAACGTGAGCTAGCCGGCGGGTGTGTGCCGGATACCTCTCCGATGCCTAAGTCAGAAAAATAGACAAATAGACAAATAGACAAAATCTCTATGTATTCGGAAATCAAAGTTCTGTTACCTTTACATAGGTTATGTTGTGAACTTTTATAAGTTCCGCATAGCACAATCCTAGTAGGACTCTTATTCCTCCATGTAAAATCCTCCTAGGAATCACACTCCTGAAAGATAATGCTTACCATTCAACACCCCATTCACTGCTTAAACCAAGTGAGATGGTTTTACCTCGGTGAAATGACAATATAACCGAACTAACAATATCTCTTTGACATACTCAATCCAGTACCTTCACATGCAACTCATAGCTTGGTTCTTGTTCACTTGTATCTCGATTTTGTCCGTTGAGACCGAGCTAACTACAGCAAGCTCTGACCGCGCTAACCAGAGCAAGGTCCACCATAAGAAGCCATAATACCTCGGTTCCAAACACTGTGGCCGAGCTAATTACCACTCCGACCGGGGTGATTAAGCTAACTACAAGGCCCTTTTTGGACCAAGCCAACTACAAGGCCATTTTACTCAGCCCTTTTTACTGCGGCTCACAAAACGGCCCATTACCACGCCTTGGCCTAGCTCGGCCCTAATGCACATAAAAACTCCCTCTCACTTTCCATGACTCACAGAAAAAGAAGAAAGAAGAAAATAGAAGAAGAAAGAAAAAGAAGAAGAGGAAGAAAGAAGAAAAGAGATCATTAACAACCAACACATCATCATCATCACACAAAGACTTCACACACATACAGAGAGAGAGAGAGAGAGAGAGAGATACAGAGAATGAGAGAGAGAGACACACACACAGAGATACAGATCTGCGTATACACGCAGAGGATAGCAAGCGCCGATGATGGTTTCCCGTCCCTCTTCTCTCTTCATTCTCTCTCTCTCTCTTCCTTCCTTTCTCCCTCTATTTCTGTTACAGATATAAAAGAGGGAGGGAAAAAAAAAATACCAAAACGACATTATTTTGGATTCAGGCCACTCAAGCCACGGAGAATTTGAGCTCTGAAGTATTTTTCCTTTCATTAAGCTAATCTTGCTAGGAGGGTGTGTAGGTACTTACAATATACTTATTAATTAAAATTGTTCAACTACTACATGTTCATCTTGAAAAATTATTAGGTGGTTTTAGATCAAATTTATGTGGTATTCCAACTCGATATTCATTAGTTAAAAGATCTCATATTTTTTGTTAACTTTTTAAAAATTAATTTAATAAGTGTCATGTAATAAATGATATGAAATAATGTTTCAATACCATTAAGGGGTAGTTTGGAATGATCTAAATAAGTATATTTTTTGACTTTTTATAAAATATGAGTTGAGTATGGGTTGAGTTTAAAGTAATGTATACGACTTAAATAAGATAGTGACTTTTGATTTTTTTAAGTTAGGACAAAGAAAGCCTAAATAATCACTTGTTCATCTTAAAGGAATTGCGCTCACGTGTTCTGCTGCCAGGTGGATGAAAAACACTAAACCACAATATAGAGAGGCCACGTCAACAAGTGATTTTGTATGATCTTTAATTTTAAGATATATAAATGGGTAAATGCTAATAAATAAATAAAAATTGAAAATGGACAATAAAAAAAAAAAAAAGAAGTTAGAAAGTCTTTTAAAATTAATGAAACGTTCTTCAAAATTTATAGCGAAAATTACATTGGCAAAAATATTATATTTTTATGATGGTGTAATTCTCATAAGTGCATAGTACAAATTCATTCATTGGCAAAAATATTATATTTTTATGATGGTGTAATTCTCATAAGTGCATAGTACAAATTCATTCCTGTGTCAAAAGTTGCATAAAAAAATATTTTATTTGAAATCAATTATTTGGTGATTGTCTCATTTATTTACAATTTTCCTAAATTTATAAAAGAAATCTCGTAATTTTTTTTTTGTTATTGAGAACATAAGAAACATTATATTAATAAACAAAAACATTACATAAACAAGACTCCAATTGTTATCTCAACCAAACAACAAACAAATCCGTCAAAAAACCAACTACGAGTCAGAAAAAACTACTGATCTTCTTAAAAATGTGGTATGAAAAGCAAAATCTGCTTAAAAGCTCGTTGTTCCCGTCGACCCCAAACAAACAAGACTCAAAAAATAAGACTTCAAAGGGCCATCCCGACCCCAAACAAACAAGACTCAAAAAATAAGACTTCAAAGGGCCATCCCAACCAAACAATAAAGAAAGTTAAAAAAAATCACCGATCTTCTTAAAAATACGTGTACTTGATGTGAAAAGGGTTTTTTGAGATAGCCATCCCCACAAAAGCAGACAACGGCAACGCGAAGGCAACCGAAAGTCTTAATCCAAAATCACAAAACAAAAGAGACACCTCTTATTGTTTCATCACGAGGCATCCATCCTCTTTCACTAGACATTTCTGGCAAAGTGTTAATACATAAATGACACATCAATTTTGTGGAATGCCAGCATATGAAATCATCTAATCAAATTTCTTGGTAGGAGGTCATAGTGAACATTTTCATAAAATTGAAAAAAAATAAATAAACAAAAAGAGAAGGAACAAAATGTGAAAACATTAAAGCTAGAAGGGTAAACACTAGGTGTGGTTTAAAAAACCAACCTATACTAAAAAATTAAAAATTCAATTTTCACTTTACTTTTTACACATCTTTTTCGTAAAAAATTAAAAAGTCATCTCAAACATATTAATTTTTTTTACATCATATTTTAGCTAAAAAACCAAAAAATTACAAAAAAAACCTGTTCTCAATGAAAAAGACAGAGCCACATCTGTTATGATTGAACATTGAAGGTGCCTCCATTGCTAGCAGACAATGGGGGGGCCTTCCTTGTGGCCATTCAAAAGACAGTTAAATACTAAAAGGAATTTTACAGAAAGGGCAACAATAACAGCAATAGTAAATCTAACACCAATGTATTTGGATTATAGATTTGGATAGAGATTTAGAAAGGAAAAAAGATAAAGTGCGTGAAAGGTGCGTGATGTGTAATTATATTTAATTCACATTTCACTCACATTTTCCCTTTCTCTTTCCAAATCCCTAACCAAATCCATGAATCAAATTTCAACCAAAAAAAAATCCATGAACCAAACACATACTAAGCTAATTTCTCTACGCATCTAATTCTTTTGACTGCATATATTCTACAAACCACATAAATCATAAGCTCTTTAACAGCAGAAAGATTTAATGAGGCTGACAGGACTTGTTACAAGTACCAATGAGACATTCTTTATACTAATTAGATACTCATAATAGCAAATTAAGGCCACTTTTGAAAGGTATTCTGTCAAAATTCGAAAAAGAACAGGAAAAACAGGTATTCAAATTCTTTATAACAAATCATTTACGAGTTCAAGAAAGGAGACTAAAAAACAAGTCCCAATAACCTAGTGCTAACAAGCAAGGATATGGACATGACACTACAAGTACACGCAAATAGGCAAATTTTCAAAAAAGACAATACAACTAAGAGTGTTGAAAATTGAACTCTGGACTGACAGGTAACTTTTACAATTGATGTGCAACCATACTATGAACTTATCATGTTCAACCTTCAAGACAAATGCAATCAGAATTAAGAAACCTCCTATAGTCTTCTTAAAATAAATGCCACTCGACCCCAAAAGCCAAATCTGAAGTAGGATGAAGTTAAAACGCTATCTCATCGCAACGTTGTTACATACGTCAAAACATTGGCATAGAAAGTTACAAGTGAAATAGGATACAGTTTCATGTAAAAATTTCATACATGTATAAAATATTGGTGGCAGTGTACAAGACATCAAGTCAGAAGCAGAAACCAGAAAATAGAAGAAAACACACACACGCAAAAAAAAAAAAAAAAACACATGAGAAGCAAATAACCACCACATAAATTCCCTATAACTGCAAGTGACCTTTGATCAGCCTATATTATAATTCCTATAACAGCCAAAACCGATGCACTAATCAATGGCAATGATGAGAAAACCAACAGACACATACATGAGCAAAACAGGGTAGAGTGCAAGAGCTTTTCTCCTTGGGTTGACAGCTGTACTCATGAATGGATATGCAGCCCAAGAACTCCAAGCCAATGTTACACACACCACAACTATCTTCAATATAACATTGTCCTTCAACATGCATATCAGGGCACCAATATCCAGAGGGAATAGACAGTAACCCAGAAGACTCAGACTCTGGAAGAAGATTATGTGACCACCCTGAAACAAATGTAAATTAGACACTGTTAAGCCCCAAAGCCTACTATTGAAATATATGCCAGTTTTCAAATTTCTGAGATTCTGCAACCAATTGGAGCTTTGGGCAGAACCCTTGCACCTCATTAGGAAATGAAGGGTTCAAGTCTTGCCTATGGCAAGATTCCCCCTCCCCTAGGCTTCAGCCTCCAATGTAACTAAAAAATAATTCTGAGATTCTGACTCAACATAAAAGCAGTTTCCACGTTTGTTCCTCTCCATGACGCATGAGTACTCCGAAAATATTGCCATATGACAAGTACCTAGTATGAGTACGGGTAAACATACCGGTGCACTTATGGTTCAGGTATGGCTTGGGTATGGGATGGTTATGTTTCAGCGTCAGGATGGGTACTTCGAAGCATATATGTAATTTAAACCTACCCATCTTGTACCCGTGCCATACCAATGCCATACATTTCAAGTACTTTTGTGGGTACTCTTCCATACAAATAATTTAAACCTTTAAATTTTCAGCACAAACTAATTTCTTAACCAAAACCTAATTCCTTATGCGTGTGTGTGTGTGTGTGTGTGTGTGTGTGTGTGGGTGTGGGTGTGGGTGTGGGTGTGGGTGTGTGTGTGTGTGAGAGAGAGAGAGAAGGTGATTACCAGAAGTAGTACATTCAATGTCAGAATCACAGCACCAGCTGCAAGTAGTGCAAATGCAACGGCAAAAACCTGAGACTGAAAGATAAATAAAAAGCACAAGAAAACTGTAAGTAGCGAGTTCCCAACACTAGCTCCATCTATAATAACCAGGAGGTACTCAAGATAAAATGAGAGTCCAAGAGAACAAATAGTTGTCCTCAATACATAATATGAAAGAAAGACCATGATCTTGGATCAAACAACAATGATCCTTACATGATCGAATAATTTCTATCCTTTCTGAAGATGCCATGTCTAACAAGAAAAGCATCTATTGATTTATGGGAATCAAAAAGAATAAAGAAAAGAAAGAAAGGCAGCAAATATGAACATTAAAAAATTGAAAGCAGAACTCATGCTCGAAAAAATGAAGGTAAAATAGTTTAAATGAAGGGTAAATTACATTTTCCCCTTTATGTTTGACGACCACTTTCCCACTTTACCTGTTAAAGATTTTTTTCTCACTTTGGCCCTTCATGTTTCAAGTTTTTCGCAGACTACTCCTAAAACTAACTTATTGTCAAAATTAGATAGAAAATGCCGCTATAATTCACATAACATAAAAATATATTATTATATTAAAGTTTGAGTTTGTGTCAGATGTGTAAATTATATATAATAAAATATTTTTATTTCTGTCTAATTTTTAACAAAAGTTAGCTTTAAGAATAATTGAAAAAAATTTGAAACATGAAGGACCAAAGTGAGAAAAAATTAACTTTAAGGGCCAAAGTGAGAAAGTGGCCAAATATAAAAGGGGCAAAGTGTAATTTTCCCTTAAATGAAATAACCAATACTAAGACTACACTGCTATTCTTCTGACAAAGTGCAAGAATGCCCGATGAAATATAAAGCCAATGGAAAACCACCTCTCTCTCTCTTGCACACAGATGTACACAAAACAACGTGGGGGTAGGGGAGAGAAGTGCATTAGTGAGCTTTGTGAATTAAAATTTTAAGGCATTGCAAACAGATTGGCATGCTTCACTATATTCTGTTCCTTGAAAGTGGAAAAACAGAAACAATAAATCAGTCAGCAACTCTCACATAAAATGAACTAGAAAATGTTATTTGCCAGTAGAATTTTGTTGTAAGAGTCGACAAAATGCCACTTTGAACAGGAAAAGCAAAGACTAGAAACATGAGATATGCAGGACAGTGCCAAATGCATCCTGAGGATAACATGATAACCCATGAAATTACCAAAGCCACTCAACTGGCCATTCACCTGTCCACCTCAAATGGATGCATGCTTTTAAGAAAATACACAATTCAAAAATCCCCTGATTGAATTATAGACGGGCCATGTGAAACCATCATTTAAATTGAAAAGCACAAACAGAAACAAAATTTAGTTAATCAACAACTTGCACAAGAACTGACCATTTAGTATTCCCATAGATACACCAAATCTCCAGAGGATTTCCCATTGATTGCCTGTTCTAAACCTCAATAAACCACCTTTCTGAATAATCACACCACACATTCCCAATCCTCCAGAATTATTTGCCAATTGATTAAAATCTAATTACAGAAACGCTATTCCATGCTGCTAGATGGTTTTTCTACCTCCTCCAGTTTGACCCAAAAAAGTACTCCAAATGATTTCAAAATTCAACACCAAGAACCATTAACAGGGGCACCTCAGAGATCACAGGTATGCTGCTTAAGTAAATTGAGAGCAGCCAATGCCAGTTAGTATTAACCATCTGTTGACAACCTAACTTCCAAAATGCCAGTTTCTGCGGACATCTTAAAAAATGGAGCCTAGAATGAAGAATCCCTTAGCTTTGGAAAGGGCTGCTCATGGATAAGTTTAGTTTTTTAAAAGTACAAAACGTATGTAACGAAGACCTCTAAATGCAACAGTAAGAAAGTGTGATATAATCATCATAAATGAAAATGTTAGGGGGGAGAAGAAGATCAAAACTGACATAGGTTGTGGTAATAACAATATATATATATATATATATACATATATATGAATTTACTTTAATTTGACTGAACGTAGCCCTTGACAGTGCAATGAATTCATTTTGTAAAGTAAAGAACGTGCTTTGCAACCCAAATCTGAAGTCATTTTGTTAATATTGACTTCTTCAAAAATAACCTCTATTTTAAAAATCCACTATTTTACTAGGAAATTCTAAGGTTGAAATGATCATATTAAACATTTCAAAGCATCAAACATATAGCTAAAATTATACACTGATAACGGGTCATGATAGAGAATTAAAGCAGTGATGAATAATAGAGTAGGCTCTTAGAACAGAAGTCAACCTCCACTAAAGCACCAGAATCTGTTGCTACAGATATCACATTAGGATCTTTCATCTTATCTTTTATTTTCTATATGATTTTAAAGGGGAAGACAACCTCACTATGTAATGCTTTAGAAGAAGCCAAACAAAGTCAATTACATTAGAATAAAAACTAGGTAAAAATACTTCACAAAAACCATCATCTCAGTCAAATACCTTATGGCAATGCAACACACGTCAACGACTACAACAATATCATAATCAAAGAGCCAGTAAATTAGACAAACTGGTTGAGGTTTTTGACACACACATCTACTAAATAGTAAAGCCAAACAAAGTCAATCTACAACATCTACTAAAACCAAACTTACTCAACCAACCCACTCCGTCTCAGCTAGAACCCACCATCTATAACAAAGACCTCCTATGTCTCTTGTATTATCCATCTCTATTTCATCCCTATTTTATGTATTCTTTATCTCAACCCCCCTTCCAATTTTTTCTTGTAAAGAAAGTTTCTCCTCTTTAAAAACTTTGCTACAATCTCCCTCCATACAACTAGATTACTACCATTTCTCCTAATTTTCACAAAACACTTGTATCCCTGCATCTAATATTGTCTCATTTCTCTCTCCTTTATGTCAAATCTTTCTTGTACATCGTAAGCCCGCATAAGCCAGTACATGGTGGAAGAAAGTTGATTACTTCAAACTTTCCATTTAAGGTCTTGAATGGCACTAAATGGCTTCCATACTTGAAACACTAAAATTAACTAGAATGTCTATGTGTCCCAATAAACTAGATGGGTCAACACTTTAGTATCTCCGCAAATTTTGAGAGATTCACGAGACAACACATTGAACAAATGAATAATTATTAAAACATCCAACCTTAATCTTTCACCTTGTTCCAAAAAAAAAAAAACTTGCCTCGTTTGGGAACAAACTTTTTTAAGTAACTTTTTGGCTAAAATATGATGTAAAAAAAATTAGTATGTTTGGGATGACTTTTTGATTTTTTACGAAAAGATGTGCAAAAAGTAAAGAGAAAAAGGAATCTTTGACATTTTTGTATAGGTTGTTAGCTTTTTAATTTTTTTAATAACTTTTTGATTTTTTGGCTAAAATCACTACTTGCCAAAAATGTTAACCGAATATTTGTACTAACTTGTATGATCAAAGTTGTTCTGAGAATACAATGAGAGAATTAGCCTACTGTTTGAACCAATCTTTCTAATATCACAAATACATGCCCACGATCTGAGTTGCAACAATTTTATCCATGCATCTCATCAACTGTCACCAAACATCATATGATTAACAGAAGGTTAGTACTAATCACTATCTCCAAAACATTCTACATAATACATAATTGACAATTATACACCTATACTATCTATACTATCAGGGCTTGATTGATTGGGCAAATTATAACATATGATTGGAATTATTAATCCATGGCACTCACATTCTATTATTTGGTTGCAAATTTTATTATTCAGATTAGATTCTAATGGCCATTTTATTCAACAAAATTGATTATTTTTTTTAATCTGATGACTAATACCGCAAAACATAAATATAATTGGGATTACATATTTCTATATCTATTGCAAAATAAACATGGACAATAGAGAATTATGTATCTCATTAATCAAGCTAAATAACTAATTCTACACTAATATTATGGATTGTTAATCATTTCGATATTAATCCTGCTAATCAAACAGACCCATATCTATACTATCTATACTACCTATAAAGTGTATAGTTCAGGTGGTGTGAATGTCACATTTTTTACTCTTCCAATAATGATCTACCCACTCACTAACTCTCACCCATTTTAATTCTTCAATAGTTGTTAAAACGATTATTCTCCTTCGTCAAACCGTGCAAAACTGCTAGTCAAATTTTCCTCAATCATCAAATTATCTAAAACATTTAAATACAAAATTGTATTCAAACATTATGTATACTAAAATGCAAAAAGGTTTAAACTTGTTTTGACCTTCTTGACAGAAGCAGACCAGGATAGAACGAGGCCAAGGAAGACAATGAAGAAGAAAGGTCCCCAAAGATCCCAATCCCTCAAAGCCTTTCCAGGGTCATCACGAAACGGGTTCGGAAACACCACCAGCTTCAAATTGCTCACGATCCTCGACAGATCCCTCTTCACTGTGTCCCACACCGGCTCCGTCAGCGTGTTGGGCGCCGAACCGAACCCCGTCGCCGGCGGAGGAGGAGGAGGAGGCGGCGCAGAAGGGACAGGAGCGGGTTTCTGCGGCGGAGGAGGGAGGTTGGAGGGCATGAAAGGGGAGGAGGAGACTGGAATTGAGGCCCGAGTAGGGCTCGGAGGGCGGGCTGGGAGGACGGTTGAAGGGCCGGATTGGACGCTGGCATGGATGAGATTCTCGATCTCGTCGATGTCCGATTGGGAGGAGGCGTGGAGGGGGATTGTGTCGCCGTGCGACATTTTTTTTTCTCGGGAAAATGAGGGGTTTAATTTTCCTGAGAAAATTTTAGGAGTGAGTGATTTAAAGTTAGGTTAAGAAACAGAAAGCTTTATTGTAAAATTGATGTGGAAATGAGGGAAGAGAATTGTGTTTGGATGGTGACCGGAGATCAAGGGCATAAACGTTGCCACGAAGTAATTGGCCGAGTAAACGCACTATAAAATTACAAACTTTAAAAAAAAATAAAAAATTATGACGAATTACGCTGGTGCTCCTTATAATTTAAAATTTGTATTATTTTGATTCTTAATTTTTTAATTGTAACATATTTAATTGTAAATTTTGAATTTTGTTTTAAATAAAAATAAATGAAGATACTATTGCTCAATTTTAATGGTAAAATCGTCAATTTGATAAAATATAAGATTCGTTTGGGATATGAGTTAGCTTTTTGGCTTTTTAATTATTTTAGTATAGGAATAAAAATCTTGTTTGAGATAAACTTTTTAATTTTTTTGACTTTTGTGATAGAAAAAAAGAAATGATTATGGTTTAGATGTGATATTTTGTCTTATTTGGCTAAAAAACCTATTTTATTTTATTTTTTTAGATTAAAATAGCCAAAAAGCCTAGCATGCCAAACGAATGCATAAATTAATTTGACAAAAATAAATGTCAATTTTTTTTTTATTTTTAAAAATTATTTCTAACTATCAAAAATAAAATTATGTAAAATTGATACATCCTTTACACATTTAAGGGTTGTTTGGGATGACCTAAATAAGTGCACTTTTTGTCTTTTTACGAAAAGATGTGTAGAAAAGTAGAGAGGTGATGTGATGAAAAAAAGATAAAAAGATTGATTATTTGAGGTATGCCAAACTTGGCCTTATTTATTTATTTATTTATTTATTTGCTAAATTAATTTTTATTATGTGTTTTGATATGATCATATAATGAGTGGTTATTTTTATTTTCATTAAATTAGTTTCTATTTTTCAAAAGTCAAATATAATGACAACTTTGATATTATTATTAAACCAATTCGTTAAATAAATAAAAAAATTCAAAACTAAAAACATTTCATATATTAAGGTTTCATTTGACAAGTAGCTTTTTTAGCCAAAAAGTCAAAAAAATTATTAAAAAAATCAAAAAACCAATAACTTATACCAAAAAGTCAAAGATTCTCTTTCCTCTCTACTTTTTGCACATTTTTTTATAAAAAGTCAAAAGTCATCCAAAATATACTAATTTTTTTACATTATATTTTAGCAAAAAAATCAAAAAGTTGCTCAAAAAACTTGTTCCCAAACAAGGCCTAAATGTATCAATTACACATTAAAAGCCTGACAACTACCTATTACATGATTATCATTCAAGCACATAATAAAAATTAATTGATAAAATAAATAAATAATATGTAAAAGATTTATCAATTTTACATAATTTTATTTTTGGTAAGTAGAAATAATTTTTAAAATTTCAAAAATATTTTTTTAACATTTATTTTTGTCAAATTAGTTTATATTTTATCAAATTATGATTTTGCCCTTGAAATTGAGCAATGATATCTTCAATTGTCATTATTTGGAACAAAATTCAAAATTAAAGGAATACGGGCACGCCGGAATATTTGCTCCCCGTACACATTTATTTTTGTCAAATTAGTTTATATTTTATCAAATTATGACTTTGCCCTTGTCATTATCTTCAATTGTCATTATTTGGAACAAAATTCAAAATTCGAGATCAAATGTATTACAATTGAAAAGTCAGGTACTAAAGTGACACAACCCCAAACTACAGAGACTGTTAGTGTAATTCGCCAAAAAAATATATATATATTATTTAAAAATAATCACTTAATTCCTCTTTGATTTGTAACAAGTGTGCAATATGCATTAGATATAAATGAGTTAAACGTTATTTTTAAATTTTTAAAGAGGTAAATCGTACATGTAATAAAGTATAGATGCTACATTTCACCTCTCAAAAAAAACGTCAAAAATATTCGTAATTCAAAAACTTAAGTTATTTATATACACAGATATTTTAATCTTTTTTTATTAAATCATTAATAGATTTATCCACATCAGTCCACAAATTATGAAGTACATAAATCATAAGAAGACTAAGTGACTACTTCCAAATGAGAGAAAAATAAATCGCACATACATTTCCAAGGGAGTAAATCGAAATTTGTCCAAAAATATATGTTGGACACTATTCTTTTTCGTACTCTCTACTATTAAATTTGAACTTTGTTGATATTTTTTTTAGGATTTTTTGGTGAGAAGTCCATCGATCTCAAATTTTCTTGTTTAAAGGGCAAGTCAAAAAATTTCATTCATCAAGAACAAAATTTAAAATATATATATATAAAAAAAATATGATAAAAATGTCCTCAACTAAAATTTCAGTTCTCTTCTATCCTACCGCCTTCATATCACCACAACTATCGCTAAACATTGCCAGCCACCGTCGACCACTGTTGAATGACAATAATTTTCTGAAGACTACTGTCGGTCAGTGATAATTTTCTTGTAACCATCATTAGCAACCAGTGACTCTCTAACAACTATTTTCCAACAAGAATTTCCAATGACTAATTTCCAACAACTTCCTTCACCCTTCTCCGATGACCTACTCTGGTCACCACTACTATTGCTACCACAACCACAACACCACCACCTAGCAAATAGAAATAAAAAATAAAATTTAAAACTCACTATTTTGTTGATAGTAAAATTTTGCTAACCACCACACTTACGAATTTAGCATTTAAAACTTAAATTTTTACCATAGTCATTGCTAATCACCCCACTTATTATGATTGTTATCATTATTAGTATAAATATTAAATGAGAAATTAATTAGAATATTAAGTTAATAACATTAACAGTAAAATTTTACTGTATAAACTATAAAATTTTTATGTTTGCTACTAACACTGATTTATTTATTTATTTATTTACTTATAATTTTTTGTGATCCTGTAACCTCAATTGAAATTGATCCTAAAAACAAAAGGATTTAAATGAACCTCCAATTGTTGAAAGATTATGACAAATATGATGTTGTTGGTCTCAAATATGAGGCTGCATATCTTAGATCTATAGTCATCGACTATAGATCTGATATCGTCAATCTTAGATTTGAGATTGTTGGTGGTAGATCTATTATAGTGAAACTAGTTGTTGTCGGTGGAAATATTGAACAATACGAGAGAGAGATTATAGATCTCGCAAACCAGACCATAAGAGCGACCTTAGATCATCATAGCTGACAATGGAAGAGCTAACAATGGATGAACTGTTGGAAAATGGTTTTTGAAACTTTTGAAAAAACCTTATTTTTTGCTAACTTTGAACATAAATTAAGGTGAGACCCAAGCGTTATTTTTAACGTTTTTCATTGGGTTCATGTTTAATGCTGCGCAGTGAATTACATTGTGTATTTGGTTGCTCAAAACCATTTCCGGATGAATGAGAATTTAACGCGCATTTTCGGGTTCGCGAAAATGAATTTAGGTAGGTTTCCTACACATTTGTGAAATGTGTTTGTCCCACATTGGAAAGGCTTAAGGTTTTGAATGAGTTTATATACCTTAGCTTGAGATACTTGAGATGTGAGTACCCAAGTTCGTGGAAATGTGAGGTTATAAGTGAAGTAGGCTAGACCCATTGTGCCCAAAACAAAAACCACAAGCGCACCGTCGCTACCGTTCATCCGGCCGGTCGGCGCAGGCTGGACCGAGACTTGGGTGCATGTGCGTGGTGTGAGGTTGGGTTGGGCTTATTCGGCCCAATACTTATCTTTTTTGGCCAAAAAAATTTGTAATTTATTTATTTATTTTTAATTTTGAATTCAAAATTTCAAATAAATGGGTCTAGAATTTTTCCTTCACCCAAACAGATCACTAACGGGTTCAAACCCACCCGAACAGGTTCAAAAAGTTCAAAACAGGTTCATATCTATTCAATTCAAACTGAATCTGTCGAAACAGATTCAAATCTGTTTAGGCATCTGTTCAATCTGTCCAAACATTTTTCTACCTGTTTAGAATTAAGAATGGCAACTGCCTGGGGCAGGGCCGGGGATCACCTTCCCTGTTTCCAATCCCTGATGGTAGAAATTTTCCCGTCCCCGGTCCCGATCCCCGATGGGGAGTCTATCACTGCCCCTGCCTCTTAACGGGGATCGGGTTTCCCTGATCCCGAAAATTCCCCGGCCAAAATAAAAAATGAAAAAAAAAAAAACAACAACATTTAACAACAGATCTGAGCATATATATTTTATTCATCAACAACATCATCATCAACAGATCTGAGCAAGCATATATATTTATCAATTGTAAAAAATAAAAAATAAAAATCTAACACATACACATTCAACACATTCAATAAAAATCTGAGTTCGGAAGCGTTGGCGAGACGATAGAAGCGACAGAACTCTGACGATGGAGGGACAACGGCGATCGGCTGTGATGGAGAGGAGAGAGGGAGGGACGAGAGCCAGTAATGGAAATCGGAGGGAGGGAGGGAGATCGGAGTGAGGCAGTGATGGAGATCGGCGTGAGGCAGTGAGATCGGAAAGAGGGAAGTCAGCGTAAGACAACGCAGCGATGGAGATCGGAGGGAGGGAGAAAGATCGGTATGAGGCAGTAATGGAGATTGAAGGGAGGGAGAGAGGGAGAGCAGAGGGAGTGGAGGGTTTTAGAGAGAGAGAGAGAGAGAGAGAGAGAAACCGAGAGTGAGAGAGCCTAAATTGAGTCAAAATAATAGGGAAACACACACATATATATAGGGAGGGGTAGAACGGTAATTTCATATTGGAGTAAACGGGGACGGGGCCGAGGCAGGTTCGGGGCTGGGGAAGGTATCACTGTCCCCGCCTCGAAAATTATCGAGGATTTATTTTTGAATACCATCTCGGCCCGTCGGGAGTATTTTTCGAGAAAAAACTGTTCTATTCAGGGTCATGAAGTCGGGGCCCTGTTGGGCTGGTTTCAAATTGTCATCCCTATTCAGAATGGCCACCATTTCTACTATAAAAGCCTTCAATTCCAGCATTCTTGCATTGAATTTTTCCGTCAGAATTTTGTCATTCTTCTTTTGTTCATCCTGTGCTATTGCATCTGTTTCTGCATTTATTTTTAGGAAGAAAAAGAGAGTTACAACAGAGTTGTGGTTCGCTAGATTTGAATTTGTAGTGCTGCAAATTCAAGTGTTAGTTTTTGCATCATGAGAAGTAGACGCCGATAAAATTTTGAAGCACTGGAACGAGGGCGAAATCTACTTTAAAGAGATTGTATCCAACACAAGTCTCGACATTTAAAATTTCTGTAAGTATTTAATTCAAAATTTAATTTATATAATTATTTTTTGAATTATTTTATTTTACTATTTATTTAATTTATACATTTAATTTACACACACTCTCTATGGGCATTACATGAACAACGCCTGTTTCATCACGAGAGAGATAATAGAGAGAAAATAAAGTTACGAAAATGACTAGTAGCTCGAAAAAAGTGACCCGATTTTGGTGTCTGATGCCACGTTAAGTTCAGAGTGTGAAAATCAAGAGAAAGAGTCAAGTATTGTGATACTAATAAATAAATAAAAATCTAACAACACAAAAATTGATTAAAATTAGACATAAATATCTCCCATATAAATCTCACCTCCTTGTAAGTCCCACACTAACATAAAAAAATTATATCCAACTCTAATTGAATTTTGTGGAAATAGAAAAAATGATTTAGAGTTCGTTTAGGATGTGACTTGACTTTTTAATTTTTTATTTATTTTAACATGGGGCTAAAAGGTCTCGTTTATAATAAATTTTTTGATTTTTTAAATTTTTATAAGAGTAAAAATGAAATAATTATAATTAAATGTGACACTTTTTTTTTATTAAATTAAAAATTCTATTTTATCTTTTATGATTATTTTAATAAAAAAAAATTAATTATAACTCATGTCAGATGAAAGACTTAAATAACTCATTCATTAAGAGAGTGGGAGCGAAGTGGGGAAGGGAGCTAGCTGGAAGTGAGCCGTGTCCCTAGGGGTGGAGAAGCTATGTGAGTTTGTTAAAAGGCATCTCAATCGATCAATCACTGGTCGTATATGGTTTAATTGTTAAGACAGATTATAAATTATAATTTAACAGATTATATATTATGACTTTAATAAGAAATTATTAATCTGTTTGATATACCTCTTGGATTATATATTTAAGTTACTGAGTAGTGTTTGTTAAATAAACTGTGAAGTAATTTTTTCAATTAATTTTTATTTTTTATTATTCACTATTTATCTACATTTCTCATAAAAAAATAATAATAATAATTTATATTCCATTTGTGTCTTTTTTTATTTTTAAAAAAAAATAATAAAAAAAATCTAAGAGTATAATCATGAATTAGCATTTTCACAGTTGATAATCGGAAACAAGGGGTGAGCAGCTTCTCAGAATCAATTTTTTTGACTTAAAATAAATTGTTAGAATCAAAAGCTATTTACGATAAATTTAACCAAACAATCTAAAATAACTTTCTAAAAATCAAAAATTATAAATTGACTAAAAAAAAACCACCAAACACCCACTGACTCACCAACAGGGTTTGCTAAAAGACATCACTATCGGTATCACAGATGCCAAACCGAGTGTTGGTGTGGCCGACCCACTTTCTTTCACGGCAATTGATTGGCAAACATTATACTATTACATTCGTTTGGCATAAGATTATAGAGTTAAAATAATTTTAAAAAGATAAAATAAATTAAAAAATTAGATAAAATGTTACATTTAAATTATAATTATTTTATTTTTTCTTTTAAAAAGTTAAAAAGTTAACTCACATCCCAAACTAACCCATTATAGTTTGGAATTTGAAAACTCATTATTTTGTGCAAAATGTTTTAGACCCTAAAAAATTCTTACAATTTCATCCACAATCATATGTCATGATAAGTGTCAATTTTTAATTTGTTACACATCTAATGATTAAGGGTTCAATTTTCTTGTCACATCATTGTAGGTAAAATATGTTGGTATGTAATGTTACTCTTATTTTGTTTGTTTGTGATTTTTCCAACTAGTTTCTTTTTTTGCTTTTAACAAAAAGACGTACAAAAAGTAAATATTGACTTTTTAGTAATAACTTTTGAATTTTTTAACTAAAATAAGTATTTTCAAATTTGCCCTAAATCTAAATTTAACCGTCAATGTTTGAACTCGGAGGATTCACCATAGTTCCATTTCGATAATTTAAAATATTCATTTTGTAAAGTCTTCCGTGTTTATCATTTATGAAAAAATTAAATTAATTCAATAATCATAACATTTTCATTAAATCTTATTTGTCTATGAAAAAATGGACAAGAAAAAATTAAATTAATTCAATAATCATAACATTTTCATTAAATCTTATTTGTCTATGAAAAAATGGACAAGCATGTTTTGAAAACAGACTATCTATTTTTCGGAGACATATGTGATAAAATGAAAATGTTACAATTATCGAATTAATCTTTTTGTTTTTTGTCACAGATGATATACACAAAAAACTCTATAAAATAAATGATTTGAATCATCAAAACGAAATATGTTACAGGCTCTACGAGTCTGAAAGTGATGATGAAATTCAAATTAAAACTTAAAAAAATCCAATCTATTTTGTTTACATCAAAATTTATTCTCCCAAGCCAGCTGTTTTACAACTGCACTCTTCACCCTTGCTTCTTTTCTTCCTTTCCTGCACGCCTTCCCTCTTTCATATTTTTGGCCAATATTTTAACACCCATGCCATATACTATATAAATGCTACCAATGTAACTCCCATTTCCCTCAAAAAACACAAAACAGCGTCTCTTCTTTCACACATACACACACTCTCTCTCTCTCTCTCAAACCTTTCTAACTTCTCTCACTTATGTTGTGTTTGATCGAAGGATTTGAAGAGGTATTTAGAAAGGGAAATAGAAAAGGTAAGTGAAATGTGAATAAAATATACTTATATTTCACCTAGTTTCACAAACTTTTTCTCTTTTCCTTTCCAAATCCCTCTCTAGATCCCCAAACGAGAAACCATCGCTTCTTCTTCAAGAGTTTCATCAGTGTTGCTAATGATGTCTCTTGTAGTAGGCAGTGTATTCATTGTTGTATTAGCTAGCAATTTCTATCAAGATTTCGACATCACTTGGGGCGATGGTCGTGCCCAGATACTCAACAATGGGGAGCTTCTTACTCTCTCACTTGACAAGCCCTCTGGCTCTGGCTTCCAATCCAAGAATGAGTATCTCTTTGGCAAGATTGACATGCAACTCAAGCTTGTCTCTGGAAATTCAGCTGGCACCGTCACCGCCTACTATGTAAGCTCCCCTTTTACATTGTCATTTCCGAAATATATTCTTCTCCATACTGCAAGCTAACTGAAGTAATAGTGAATCCTTATGTATTTGGTCATACTCGTATGTTGTTTTAATTGCATTTGCAGTTGTCGTCACAAGGATCAACCCACGATGAGATTGACTTCGAGTTCTTAGGGAATTTGAGTGGTGATCCTTACATTCTTCACACCAAAGAGCAACAATTCTACCTCTGGTTTGACCCTACAGCCGATTTCCACACCTACTCCTTCCTTTGGAACCCCCAACGCATCATGTAAGTACACCAAAATTAGCTATTGAACTTTCTCAAATGACATTGCTTTCAATTTTGTATTGATTGAATAAATTTGTCTCAAATTCAGCTTCTCTGTAGATGGAAAACCCATTAGAGAGTTCAAGAATGCAGAGTCGGTTGGTGTTCCATACCCGAAGGACCAACCCGTGAGGATATACTCCAGTCTGTGGAATGCTAATGATTGGGCAGACTGATTGGACTCAAGCTCCCTTCATTCCTTCATACCAAAACTTCAATGCCGACGCTTGCATCTGGTCTTCTGGATCATCTTCTTGCAGTTCAAGCTCTCCAACTTCGACATCTAATACTACTAATTCATGGATGTCACAAGAGTTAGATTCCACCAGCCAAGGGAGATTGAAATGGGTGCACAATAGCTACGTGATATACGAAGAGATTTCCCTAAGGCCTCCCTCCCGAGTGCAACATGTCCTAGAGAAGTGAAAAAAAATCCACATGTACAGTGTTTGGTTGGAGAATTTGACGAGGGATTTAGAAAGGGAAAGGGAAAAGTTAGGTGAAATGTGAATAAAATGTACCTACATTTCACCTAGTTTCACACACCTTTTCCCTTTCCCTTTCCAAATCCCTCCCCAAATCCCCCAACCAAACACAATGGTTTCTATACCCATTCATTTTTTATACATTCTTTTGTATGTAACTAAGAAAATTCAGTTGTTTCATTATTTATCAATTATAGTTGTTATTAAAATGAATAAACTAGATCGTCATATTTTTTTAATTCTGCCAAAATTAGTGTCGTTGTATGAGGTGAAACATTACGGGTAAAGCTCTATATATAATCACTTATGACTTGGTCATTGACCCTTCTAATTAGTTTATTTATTTATTATTATTTCAAATTCGAAAGCAATTAGGGTAGATTTTAAATTGACTTAACAATTATAAATTGTTGATTTTGAATTTTAATGACGTGTTGTAACCTTATGTATTAACAATAAAATCTCTATTTTAATCAAGTAATCGATTAAAAAAAAAAAAACTTAATTCTCAAAATATTGGGTTACCATGATTAGTCACTTGTATCGATTTTAACAAATTTGGTTTTCCAGCGCGTGGAGAATACTAAATTCTCTCATGGTAAAATACTCTGTTTCCTTGAAAATTCCACTACAAAATCTTATTTTTCTAGTCCTTTTCGAAAAAGGAAATAGAAGTATATTCAAAAATAAAAATAAAAATAAAAATAAAAATTCAAGATCAAAGAAGTCAGATCGCTGTTACATTTGCTCTGTGATAAGAATAGAGGAACTACAATCACAAGGAGCAAAAGGTAGCAAAGAACCCATTTCCTCCACATGTTTAGACATACTTGCATTATTAGCACTGGCTTCAAGACGAGCATGAATAGTGTAATCATTCAGTGATGATGACTGAAATTTAATGTTTAGGTATAAAAAAAATCACTTCAAATCTGAGTAATACAACACATCACTTAAAAAAAAAAATTGAATAGGTAACTCGAAAAATTAGAGGTGTGAATGGTCCGAAATTCCAAACGACGTCGTTTTGATTCTTTTTTTTTTTGTTATCTTTTCTTCTTCCTTTCCATAACTTGCAAAAGAAGAAGAAAGAAGAGAAGAGAGGAGAGGAACCAGATAGAGCAGAGAGATTCAAATCCAAAAATCAAAATCAATACAAATCAAACCCAAAAATCAAACCCATAAATCCATGAAACACACACACACACACACACACACACATACAGATCTGGAAAATTAAAAGCTAAATCCATGAAAAACACACACACACATATACAGATCCGGAAAATCAAAAGCCAAATCCATGAAACACACACACACACACACACACACATATATATATAGAAAAAGAGAAGACGAGAAGAGAGAGGGCGGCGACATAGGTTGTGTAGCGGCGACAATGCAACAGTAACGGAAGAGGAAGAGGCGGCGGTGATGACGTGAGAAGATCGGCTCCTCTCCCTCTTCTCTGTTTCTTCTCTCTTTCTCTCTTCCTCCCTCCCTCTGTTTCACAGATAAAAGAGAGGGAAAAAAACCAAAAGAACAAAACAATGTCGTTTTGAATTTGGGCCACTCAAGCCTCAAAAATTTCGAACTCTAAAGCATTTTCAAAAAAATTACTCTAGAAGATTGATATGAGTTTGGCATTTTTAAAACAAGTGGGACTCCTCAAAACTTAAAGCATGAAGTTGTTTATTTATTATGGAGATAGGATATGCTTATATCCATCATATTATGTGGTAGACTGCAGACCCACCAATTGATTTATTTAATTTAGAAAAAAAAACAAACAATATTTTCAAAATGATTTGTTAACAATTCACATATTATTCATTTAAATCTAACATTTATCAATAAAATGTGAATTTAGAAAAAGAGAACTGCTATCTGCCTCATAAACTAGTGTTGCAAACATTTAAAATAAATTGTTTGTTTAAAAAAAATGACAACTTAATATGTATGTTAAACCCAATTTTTCAATAAAATTCAAGAAGTCAAATCCTAGATCTAACAATCCTTCCTTAAATGTTAGGGAAATGTTACAGTTGCATACCATATGTACCTGATTATTCAATGTTGCATAATATTCTAATAGAATTATGACATTTTATGATTCAGAAATGAAATTATGTACTTTTGGGATAATCATGTTTTCTGATTAAAAAATCCAGAAATTGGGCTTGAAACTTTCACCTTACCAATGAGCCGACAGCTGATGGTTTCGATGAAAAACAGTGTAACATTACTACAAAAGCGCAACATTAACAACAAAAAATGCGTAACTTCATTTCTGAACCACAAATTATCGTAATTCTATTGGAAGATTAACATTTGCTACAAAAATGTATATCATATACCACAAAAATGTGCAACAAGATGCATTCTGTATGCATTGCACAATGAAGAACTTTCCTAAATCTTGTATCCAAACACAATCTAATAATTTTACCCGTTGTTTTATGCAAGGAAAGCTCATCATCATAATGCACCAAAAAGAATTTATATATATATATATTCAAAGGCAAAATCCATGCAATTCAAGGCAGTTCAGATCATGGGGTAGGGTAAGAACCTGTTACATTGCTCCTTTTTTTTTTTCATTTTAGGGGAAGAAAGTACATTTCAATTCAAATTCTGATCGAATATATACAAGTAAAATCTCCTCTTGTATAACAAGCAACTGAAAGTAAAGAACCATTCAGCTATAGAAACTATAAATCACAATCCAACAGAAACTAATCACAATCCAACAAAGAATTAGATAAATCCCGATTAAAAAAAATAGATTATTAAGCTTCAGAACCCCAACACCAAGAAGCTGAGGATTTCAGAGACAACTTATCAATTGTATTGTCACTGAACAGTGTATCAAGATATGAATTGCATACAAGTCTTCCAAAATTTAAAATTGATGACAATGTTGATCCATTATCATATATGAATATTTTCAAAACTGGGTTCAATTTTCCCACCAGTTCTTCAAAATGAATTCATCAATACACCTGCTATCTCAGTTTTCCAAAATGATTTGGGTAATAACCCCACCGTGGGGTTTAAAAAATTGCAATGTGATGAAACCATCAAATGTGTAAATATTAAAAGCAGAGAAAGGCATATCTGGGCATTTCAGGGCTTGAGAGCAAGGGCAAGCCCCAACTTGGGGGCTGCGTTGACGGCCTTTGAGTCGTATTCTGCTGAAACTGTAATCAGCGACTTGGGCCTCCATTCCCGCTGGCATAGCATTGCAACCTTTCCATTGTCAGAGAACCTCGTCTTTATTGTGGTACAAGGATCAACTGTATGAGAGCTTCCAATGGTAAAACTGTTTTCATAGTTGGAAAATCTATGAATCATTTCTGCAGCAACCTCGGTTCCATTCAAGGGATTCACAGTGTGAATGTAAGATGCCTTCAGTGTCTGTCCTTTGTCCATTCTGCATGGAAGGGTCAAAAAGGTTTAGAAGATGCATTGGAACAGCAAAAGAAGCCCCAATAAAAAAAAAAATTAAATTAAAAAGGCCAAACAAACCTCATGTTAAGTAAAAAAAACATAAAATGTTGCATCCATAAATACATACACTGTTGTGAAAGGCGCGCCTAGGCACAATGTTTTTAAAGGCTCTAATTCTTGGTCAACATAGAATCAGACAGCAACAAAGAACTAAATTTTGTTTTGTTTAAGTCATAAAACCAAACCTTTCCAGTTTCAGCAAAAACTGGCATGAGACCATCACGTTGGGCGCTTAAAGAAAAAGAGGGGAGCAATTTTAGTGTGTGGGGGTTCAAAGAAATGAGGGATCCGAAGAATAAATGTGGTTGCATTTAGCAACTCTTACATAAATATTTAGAAGTTATTGAGTTAACCTAATCATTCTATGACTAGACTAAAAGTTTAGGAACATTTCACCTGTTTGACTATTAGGCTACTTTCGATCAAGATATAACTACATATAATGAGCCAATAATGTTGACTTTTTTTTTTTTTGATCGGCACCAATAATGATAGACCTAAAAGATGATTAGGTCACCCACGGAAACCTTGTCCAGTAAATTACAAAATTATTGATATACCCTGGACAACTAAAACTGATAAAAAAACCACTAAATCTTTCAAGCAACATCCTAGTACATAGTAAATAATATTCAATTAACCTTAAACATAATTATACAAACCCTAGATATGCTACTTGTAAAATTCCAAATTTACCATTTTTCTTCTATCCGTAATCGTCATCAAATGTGCTTTAGAGTTCTCCTAACTCCAATAAGGACTTGGACTATAATTTTTTGAACCTTCCACGACCCAAAATCGAATATGACCCAACACCAACAAGCTACTAAAACTCATCCAAAACCAAAAATGACCCATAACATAAAGCCACATTAATAACCTAACCCATAGCATGACCTATGGGGTCCCTTGGGAGATTCTATTTGCACACACCCATTACACTCTATACACATCTTTCTCAATAAATGACTTGTTCGGAAGTAGCTTTACGAAAATAAACTTGTTCGGAAGTAGAATTCCGAAAATTTTCATTTCTTTCGATAGTAGAATTTCGAATTTTTTTTATTTTTTCGACATTCAACTTCCGAATGTGTTTATTTGAGTTGTGTGTGATGTCCATAATAGTAATTTCACTTGGGAATAAAATTGTAATAAAAATAATTATAATTAAGTGTGTGCACAAAGTGGATTGAGTGTGTGCAAATAGAAGCTCCCGGGTCCCCTAGAGCCCAGGTCCAAAAAAAATTGTAAAATTACAAAAATAACACTTTACCTCTAAAAAATGACTAAGATATAAAACTAGACTAACTCAAAATCACAATAAATAAAAATTGCATATGACTTGATCATAACCAAAAATGTAATTTTTCTTACAACGTTACAAGATCTCAAATGGGCCTTAGATCATCAACCACATGCCTAACAAAATTTGAGCATTAGAAGCATCCTAACCACGCCTTTAACAGACCTTCAACGGCTGTTCCCATGCTGCATCATAATAGTGGTACTCTGTTTCTTGGCTACAATATTCCTTCTAATATACACAAAGTCCTCCTATATAGTGGTGTTGGGTACCCTCGTAATCACTAGGAGTAGAGAGAATCTGCCAACATATGCTATACATATAACAATGTTTGTTCTTAGCAGACCACCTTGCCATCAAGTGCACAGGTTGAATTGAATCATATGAAGCACGGATACTTCTAAAAGGGAGTCATATTCATATCGTACCCATATCGGATATCGATACTACTCAAATACTCATAAATATGTATTTGATACTTCACAAATTTATCCAATGCTTGATGTTAATTTTGAAAAGCATCGAATACTTTTCGGACACTCTAGGTTATGCATAAACTATTATGAAATTGAGATTGTAAAAAGTTTTGCATAGTACTAGAGTATAATTGATAAAATAAATACAATTATAGTTTTTAATAGTTTCTTATTTATTATTGAAGAAGAATATAGTGTGATTGAAATAGTACACTACTTTTTCAGATTTCATCGAATTAACGTATCCACTAAAAGAGAAGGAAAAAAAAAAGTACATTGACTATGGGCTCTTACAACTAATATCTAATTGCAATGTATCCTGATCATACCCATATCCAAAAATTTTAGATTTTGTCGTGTTGCCGTATCCGTATCGTATCCATGCTTTATAGGTTGTATCCTAATTCTGGAATTTCACCTCAACTGAGAGTATCTTAACTGAGGAGGAACAGAATGGTGGGTTTCTATGTTCTTGGCAAAGTGCCCAGTCCAGGTATTGTAAAAACAAGGCAGCATGGTAGGGTTTATAGATTGAAGTAGGACCCATACCAGCTAAAGGTGGAGTGACTGAGTGAGCCTTATTTCAGGTGGATTCCCTCCTACACCTTCTTCCCAGATGACCTACAACAGCAGCAAGGGGCTGGTTTCAGCAGCTCGTGAACAGAGGAGAGAAATCTGTCACATCACAAAACAGAGGAAGCACGTTGCAGAGGGCTATGTGATGGATCAGCAAAACTCATACCGGAGACCTGGGAAGTTAGAGGTAGCAAAAGAGAAGCCGTCTTGAATCTAGAAAGGAAAGGTGGTCATAGCGATGAAGTTCATCGATCAGTTTATCGACCAACAGTGAACCAAAATGGGCGTCTTTCAGCTGTGGGTAAAGGAGTTTGTTAGATGCAGACAGGAAACTAATGATCACAAGGCACAACCCCGTACTTAATGAAGAAGAAAGGTCACCATTTTTACAGAAAAAAGATCTAGAAATAATGAAGGAGGTGATAATGAAAGCAGAGAAAGAGGTGGTTCAAGGGCAAAACTCTCCTCAGGCATGTGGTAGGAAAGATGGGGAGTCTGAGGGTTTGAGAGAGGAGGGACAGACGGGCTGGGTCCCATAAGAGGACCTTGTGCTGTGAAGGGAAAGGGGGCCCCAGTAATAGAAGCCAACAAAAGTTGAAGGAGGCTTGTGAAACTATTAAAGAGAAGTAGGCAAAAAGAAGTTTGGGCTCGAATGATGGGATGGGCTTAGGGCAGAGTAAAGGCCTAAAGGTAAGTTTGGCTAGGGTAACTTGGAAACACAGCCCTATTCTATATGAGGAGTGGGCTGTGAAAACCATAAATCATAACATAATGGAGTCAAAGGCAATGATAGGATTAAGGCCCAAGAATGGAGGAAGCCAGTCTACGCAAGAAGAGAGACAGAGGAAGAGCAGGGAAGAGGATGAAAGAGCCTGTAAGGCAGAAAAAGGTGAATCTTGATTAAGTGAAGAAAGCAAAAAGGATGAATATAGATTTGGTATGATGTTGAGGGAAAATCCATCATTGTACTTAAAAAAGGAAACGGACCAAGAAGAGTCGGATTAAGTTTTGAAGACCTGAAGGTCTGGTCAAATTAGTTAGGACAGAGAAAACATATAATAAAAAAAAAGATTACCCCAGTTTAGTCCCCCCATTGGATGGAGGTCGGAGTGGTAGATTGGATACAAACCTAATCTTTGACGTTATTCGAACCCACAATATCACAGTTGAGGGACCGAGTTTTTAACTGCTAAAACAATGGCTCCCAGTTTAACTATCTAAAACATATATAAACTGCAATAATTGCTGGTGAAGGGAGCTAGCATACCCACTACAAGTAATTTTAAAACTTAAATGCAAGAATGTTGTTTTGGCACTTTTCCAATATTGCACACACCAAGACACATGCATATTTGACACTCTTCAATCATTGACACAAGTCACAGTTCCTTCATTTCAAGTAATAATTTGTGACAGACCACTCCACAAGTGTCATAAATAAATAAAAAAATTAAATTTTTTTTTCAAAAAAAAAAGGCTCCCACACCATATTAGCATATATACAGACATGTAGATTCTGGACTAAGCAAAAGGATAAGATATTATTAATTAATTTTGGAAAACATACAGTATAAGTGCCACAGAGAAATCTGTCTTGTTAAAGCCAATCCCACCATTGTGCTTGGTGAATGATGCGGAAGCAGTATCAAATCCAATTTCCCCACCAATAAATAGATCTTTGTTGCCAAGTGCAGCAGCAACCTCTAAAAGAGGGGCAGGGTTCAAGCCAATACTGGAGTTGATGGCTGCATGATTATGAAGGTACTGCACATCCAGCTGTAGGATACACAAATTTTGATTTAGCATGCATTAAAATCACTACCAAAACCAAAGTATCCCTAGCTTACAACACATCTAGAATTGCCATAATGAAATAAATACCTAGGAAATTTTTGAAACTACTCATTGCTTTTAATTTTCTCAAGGTACTGCTACCCAACCTTGAAACTCAAAAGCCTAAAACATCCCACCAATACATTCCTTTATTCAAGAGACTGTTATTTGATCTAGAACAACATGGCTTTTAAGAGCAACAACACATTAGTTGATCAATGAAAAAGTTCAACTAATCACTTCAACAAATGTTTTATTTGGGCATAATTAAATCCAACTCAGAAAATTGATAAAAACAACTCATATCTTCCTTGTCAGGCTCCTACAAATTAAACCAAACTTGACTCTACAAGGTCAGCCAGCTGAGGCAACCAAATTCTATAACAGTGAACCCCACACAATCAGACTGGGCCAGAAAATTTGCAGTCTATAACATTGAGAATCAATGTCTGGAAAAGTTTGACCTCAGATAAAAGATAGTATGCTGTCCAAAACCCTTTACGGATTGCACAAACCAAGCAAATTAATCAGACAAATAAATTGCCAAACCTCAACTTTGTGCATGGATTCTGCAAGGTACACTGCCAATTTTTATCTTTGTAAATATGAACATAATTTTAGATTATTTAAATGCTGCACAATAGGCTAGAAGCACATGCACCTAACACACAAACTTGGTATTAGACCAACTCTAATTAAATACAACCTAATGGGCTTTGCCAAGGTAAGAACCTTGGTCTCCGTAGAAATTTTGGCTGTTGGAATACATCAATGGAGATATCCCATTGCCGATATTTTTTCATGAAAAAAAAAATGGAAGGAACTACTCACGTTCATGAAGTTCATATGCAGCATGACAAAACCAATTTTTAAAAGGTAAAGAACTAACCTTTCCAGACTTGTGATCAGGTATGTCGAAGCTAAATGCTGCTTTGGTGGAGGGTAATATGTCATTCAGAGTCACTTTTGTACATACCTGCAGATAGAAACTTAGAATGTACTGATGCAGTTGATTTTGTATAGCACAAAAGGCAAATACACAGAAAATAAATGGAAAGGATTTGTTCAAATAGCAAAAAAATCTCCTTCTTACATTAGAATAGGTATCAACTTTCACATCCACTGTGGTATTTCCACTCTTGTACAGGGTACTTATGTCACCAACAAATATTTGATCCCTCTTCACACCAGTAGCAGTAAGTCCCTGCCATACGAAATTGAAGTTCGCAAATAGAAAGTTAGACCATATCATGACCTACCTCGCAAAAGCTAATAAAAACACGAACACTTTTACAGATTAAGTGGTCATTGCTATTGTTATGGTTACTGCTGTTATTAATATTTGATATGATCATCATCGTTGCCATTGGAGCTGTCTCAAAACAAATATAACGTCATATTATTGGAAGGGCCTTGAATGTAAACAAGTAGAGCGCCAAAACTTTTGGCCAGTAAATATGATTAGCTGAAGACAAGTTTCCCTGTAGATATAAATCTGCATTTTTGTTTTCAATAATGTAGGGCTTTCGAAATTCATAATTCATGCTTTCTTTATGAAATAAGAAGTCTCAAAGGAAGTTAACACAATGCAAATGCATTTATATGTGGAACCTAAGTCGTTCTTACATTTTCATCCCATTTCGCTTTATTGGATAACTTCAAATGAAAATAAAATCAGGAGTAGACACATCAGTAATCTAAAGCTAAAGCTAACAAAATTGCATCATATTTACAATGCAAATATTTTCATAATTGTAAATGAAAAACACAACAAAAAACATATGTAGGAAGTCCAATTTTTTATACAGGCTAGTTAAGTAGAAGTCAATTCTTTTATACAGCCAAGTGACATGAGTAACCTACAACTTCCAATGCAACAGCTTCCAAAAAACCCCATCACTAAATGATTGAAAAGAAAACTATGCAACAGCCAAAGTAAATTAAGGCAGAATATAGTACATTTTCACACAGATTTATAAAATCTTTAATTTTAAGCCCACCTGGAAGTATTTTTCACTATGGCCTAGACTAACAACCAGCCTCGCAGATTTGTCCCTATAAACTCCAAGCCCAAAGGTGCCTCTAAGATAGAAGTGTCTTACGCCGTCTTATAAGTCCATTCTGGACATCATTTGTATTCAATCACATCCTTGGTTTTGATACCATACAACTTACAAGACATGTGAACTAACCCCCAATTAGAAGTATTGTTCACAATGACCCAGCCAGTAGTTGACCTCATGGGTTTCCTTTGGGCTCCAAGCCCAAAAAGCATCTCCAAAATAGAAGTGTCATGCACCATCTTATAAGTCCATACTAAACATTGTCTGCATCCTATATGGGATGCCAACATACTATGTAGGACAAGTATGCAAGCAGAAGCAAAGCAGATTTGAGCTTACTCTAGTGGTAAACCAAATCCAATAAATCTAAAGTGAATTACGCGCTCCAAATACTCAATCAATCACGAACAAAAATCTCACTAGTGATGGAGTAACACCACAAGGTGAGTGTTACCCACAATTTCACTGTGAAAAGGTTATGTGCATTCAATAGATAGAGACAATAGGGATAAAAATAAATAAACCTATAGAGAGAGAGGACTAAATACAACACAGTATATAGCCTCCCACCTTTATCTCCAAGAGAAGGTGGCACTGCCATTTAAAACCATATGACCTCTTTCATTGGGTAACCCGGTCATGCTACCTTGAGTACCGATATTTGATTTTGAAATCTGACCCATGTCTAGCACTTCCACCCACATGTGTTAGGATGACATTGTTATTCCTCTTTCTCAAATCTGACCAAATATCTTAACTTAACAAAAATACAAGACAAATATCTCGCATGGTTGTTAGAATTATACAATTCACAATTCAATTCATACAATTCGATACAAGTTTAACAAAAACAATTCAAATCATTTTGTTGAATCAGAAATTGAGTGAATCGTACGATTCACTGCAATTCAGTTCTATTTCTATTGTTGTTTACATAATGCATGAAACAATATCATTTTCGCCAAACCATGAAGATATATGAAAGAGATTAATTAGTCATATTGATATATATGATTTTATATGTATATACATATATATAATTTAGTCATATTGATAATTTACTTTATTTCACACATTGTATGTATTTTCTAAGTGTATAAATATATAGAATTATATATTATATTAAATAAAATGAATCTTAGGATTCACAATTCGATATGATTCACTATTTTAGCAAAACGATTCATGATTCAATTCACAATTTGACAACAATGCCAATTGACTTATAAGACAGCACAAGACACTTCTATTTGAGAGGTGCCATAGCAAACAATACTTCTAGGTAGGGGTCGGACCGCGCATCTTATATGGTATTATTAGAGCCAATGTTGTGCCCATGCTTAGGTAGAGATGTTGGTATCCCACATCAAATGTGGACGACGTCCAGATTGAACTTATAAGATAACGTAGGACACTTCTATAGGAAAAAACTAGTGAGGCCGACTGTTTGGCCGACTCATAGAGGCCAATACTTCCAAGTAGGGACCAGGCTGCATATCTTAGATATTATATATTGTTATCATAAACAAATCAATAAAGTTTGACCACTTGAAGCATGGTGAAACAAGATTCATTTTGTCATTTGAAAAAAGAACATGGAAAAATGCTGACAAGATGCATTTGCTTGCGTGTACACATGCAAGTCAAAGAGATATAGAGGAAGTGTAGGAGAAGGTAGAGAAAAATTTCCCTAAGATAAAACTTCTCCCACCAAATGTCAAGATGACTGCATATGAATTGATGTGAAGAGACATCCCGATTATGCTTCACTTCATATTTTCATCCTTTTATGATTGTGTTGTGGATAAGTATCTCGCTTCATTTGCATTCCTCTCCTGGTAAGTTGTAATGTCAAACCTTACTACAATTGACCTTGCCATACAAAGAAAGCAAAGTTGTCTTGACGGATCCCAATTATCATATATGAAACATTGAGTATGAATACAAGGTATATGAACTTTCGTAATATCGAATTGTTAACTATGAACTTCCGTAATATCGCTTTGTTAACTATAGGGTGAAGGTCGAAACCCGATCAAATAATCTATACTAACCAAATTGCTATCAATAGAAGAAAGAAAACAAATTATAATAAGCAACCAACTTTTGTCATTGCATTGAACTTCAAACATCTGCTCTTTCAAGTGAAAGATCTACAATTGCCAAAAAAAAATTCACACGACCTGTGCATGAAATTTTTATATCTTCTCTCTCTCGCTGGTGTGTTTTACTTTCCCTTTTTCTTTATTTTTTTGTTTCTAGGTTGGTGTGTAGGTGAGTGAGGAGTTGATTTACAATATGTATTTCCATTTGCAATTGTATCACACTGGACAAAAAATTTAGGATTCTAATCATGCCAACTAATCCAAAGGTAACAAGAAGAGTTTAGCTGACGGGATAATGCAGTCGATCAATAGGACAAATTAACCATACATTTCAATGATTGACTATAGACTACAATAGCATATCTCTAACTTTACATGTGGTAGGGTTGGTGCCATAACATAGTTGGACATAACAGCGAATTCACGGAGCAAAATTGCATTTTAAAGAAACCAATAAAGTGGATTGACAAGATGCAAGTTTTAAAACAATGGAAGTTAGTTATTAATATCACATGAAATATATGCAACAAGAAGTGAGATCAGATTATACCATCCCGGTAGAGCTCGGAACGGAAAAGGTAAACTTGTGATCATAAGTGTAATCTTTGGTCAACAGATCTGTCAAAGCAATGAAATTTCATATAAGTTTGAATTGGTAGTTACAACAAAGTGATGTGACGCATAAAATCATCAAAGCAACAAACTTTTATTTTCAGAATGCGAAAAAAATGAAGAAAGGAAAGGGAAACAAAGAAAGAAAAGTAACTAATATATCTATTAAGAAAAAAGAAAGGAAATGAAACAATGATATCTGGTAGCCAATAAAAAGTGCAATTGAAAACTCAATGAAAATTAATGGCTGCACACCAATAGGAAAAGCATGTTTCCTTCATCTTTCTTTATATTTTGGGAAGAAAACTATATATTCTGCATTCAATCCACAGAAACCCACAAGTAAATTAGAACTAGGTAATAGTGTTTTTCTCCATTCAGTTGAAATAGGCACTCCCATTAATGCATCAAGCAAAAGAACATAAAATAAAGTTTACATACAGGAACTGCAAAATCTACTCATCATATGAACACACAAAATTTTTACCAAGAAATCTTAATTCTCAATAACATATCAAAAATTTAAAATAAAAAAAAAATCTTTCCAAATAAAGCACTACATGAAACATTGGGGAAGCTAATGCAGACTATAAATTTTGCATTATAATGTGGTCCTATTGTGGCATTAGACAGAAGTTCAGCAACACAATGTCAAAACAAAGGCTCACCATTTTAACCACCGAATGACAATTTATTAGTAATTTCCTCAAGACATAAAGACATTTCAAACATAAAACTTGATTTCTATAGTCTAAGAGCCCATGGAATCCTTCATTAATGCAGAGTTTGAGTTTTCAGAAACTTAACAACAAAGAGAGTCTGCTTAGGAAAATGAGTTAAGCTTCGAATCTTGAAGTAAACTCCACAAAGGAGTTCTCCGGATTAGATGATATGAACATAAGGTTCTTCTAAACAAGCATTAATAATATTTAGATAGCATTACTCATAAATTTTTATCCATAAATGACTCAATCATGTCTCTTTCTCTCTCCATTTCTCAATTCTACTTTCTCATATTTTCTTTGTTCTAAAATCTTTTTCTTGTTAATGATTAAAAAATAAAAATAAAAGAAACAATTCTGTATAGGGATTGTAATGTATCAAATAAAATCATTGTTTTCTTCAAGTAAAGACAATATGAAACTTAGCACCAATCCTCAAGAGGGTGCTACCAATATGCAAAAAATCACCAAGGGGTACCCCTGCGTACACAAATAAATAGAGCAAAAACACATGTGAACTATGCATGCAGTCATCCACTCACTCAAAAGAGAGAGCAAAAATATCTAGAATCCAGTCATACACTCACTCAAAAGACTCCACAAAGTCCAAGAGTTGGTTCAGGGCTAGTTCAACTCCACCCAAAAACCAACTACACAAAAGACATATCCTAAGAAATTCTCCGGATGCACTCTATCCACACCCACATCAAGTTTTTTTTTTTTTTCTTTTTCCCCCTTCCCCACTCTAGCCTCTCTCCAAAAATTGGAATATTCCATATTTCTAGGAAATACCAAAACTATACCAAATGCCAAGAATTAAGGACCACAGATCTTTTCACATGTAATATCAATTAACATGAACCTATCTCCTCCTTTATGACAATATCAATAATACGAATCCTAACATATGTTGTCGTCCACGCAAAAGAGGCGACCTTAGGAGGACCCTTAGAGCACCAAACTCCTTTCAAGGGAAAGCAAACCACCTACGACCCACTACAATTCACAATACGTATCAATACATGTTATATGTATCCAAAAAAAATACTAAATACACATTTAAATGCTAGTTACAGTAGCATATACCTGGATTGGTGAGTTATACGCTTGGAATATGTTTGTTGTATGGCCAACCAAAATATATAATTTTATGTTCTTAAGACAAGGGCAATAACAAAATTAAAATGGATATTTGTTATAGACATAGTTGCCAAATCGGGATTCGTATCATGAATCAAAATGACCTCGTACCAAATCGCGAATCGAATAGAATCGTGAATTGTAAAGATTCGGTCACTTTTTCTAAATTACTTAACAACATACATCTACACATTTAAATGTTAAATATATCTTATGAATATGAAATATTTAGACTTAAATCGATGAAAATGTTATTTTGAATGATAATCACGTAATAGGCAAGAAATTAACAAAGATTCCTATGTAAGATCACCATCTTATCTTTTTTTCTTTTCTAGATATTTCTTATCAACCATTCTTAATAAAGATAATAACCAAGTAGACAAATTATCAATTTCTAAAGTAACAATAATTAACAACGATATTGATATTTGGACAATAAGCATACATACTTTTCTAAATAACAGTGAGCAAGTAATAAGAATGAATTATTTAGAATCTTTTATTTTAAAGTCTAAAACATTTTAAAAAGTATAACTGACTTCACACATGTAATATTCAATTATATTCAATTTAATAAAATAACAATAAATAATTCATAGTATAACTTTAATCTTAAACATCTTTTAACTATATATTGTGATTTTTTTAAGGAAAAAAATGAGAAGAGAGTTCAAAAATATATTGGGTCTAACTGAATTGGATTCTATTAAAAACTTCATGATCATTAAAATAACAATAAAGCATGGATATGTGTTGGTTATTTTTGGTATTAAACGTTATTTATCAAAAAAATTTAGAAGTTGTATTATGTCATTTTCACTAAAAAGATGGAGAAAAAAAAATAGTCGAAATTATGTCGGACATAATTATTTCAAAAATTGCATGAATCGTAAAAAGTGAATCGAATGATGAATCGATTGTAAATCATGCGATTCACTAGAGATTCACTTCCAAAATAGATTCACACAGATTCGAATTGATTTTGCAAAAATTACCAATCAAATCGTGAATCGAATCGCGAATCATAAGATTCTGATAACAGAGGTTATAGAACATAAAATAATGGGGTTATTTTGTAATAAAAAAATAATTGTAAACATTTAAATGGCTAATCTCCAAGTGAAGCCCTATTGAACTCAACCTCAAGCTTGACTGAGCCTCAACCCTAGTTCAACTAAGTCCTACGCAAAACCAGGTTGTACTACTCACTCAAGACTAATTGATTGGCTACTCTTAATTTATTCCAATCAAACTCTCAAAAGATAACTTAATTAAGCCTCAAGCTCAACCATCGATAGAACACTAAATTTGGTCAATGAAACAATCAAATTAGACTCCTCTTGATACTAATTGATCCTTGTGACGCCAATTATATCTTACCTTATATGTTTCCATATAAATAAAATCTCTAAGACTAGTTATTTTAAGCAAAATTTCTTAAAGATATTTATCAAAAAATTTCACTCCAATATAGTTTACTATCGTATCCTTTGCAGTTTCCGTATCTTGTCTTAAAAGATTTTTCCATATCGCAATGTCGTCATGTTTCTGTATCTTGTCTCCTTCATACTGTATTTTCCTTCCTAATGTGTTAGCATAAAGCTGGTCTTATAATAATTTATAACCTTAAAAAAGAGAAAAATTGCACTTCTACACGAAAAAAAGATTTCTAATATGCAGCAAATATAACTAAGCAAATTACATCATCATGTACTGGTCTATGACAAAGTAGGCATTATGCATATTAAAAACTAATTCCTGCAGAAACACTACCTTTAACTACAAAATTAAAATATGAAGCACACTATAAAAATCCCACAATTCACACTTCAGAATCCAACATTTTATTGGATCATATTTGACAACTCTGGACAAGATTGCTTCATATTAAGTAAAAAATAAAAAAATAAAAAAAGTAGAAGGTGCAAATATGCTTACGGGGCAAGATGACCTGTTTTCAGTTTGTATATGTGGTGGTAAGTTTCTTTTTTTTAAGGTTAATTATATCAAAGACCCCCTAAACTATTAGTGAATATAAATATGTCTCCATAATGTATGAACCTGTACATTTCAACCCCTCAACTATAAAAACCCTATAAATACCCTTTCGAAGGGTGTGAAAAGTGATGCATTTTTGCTAATAATTGAGGCGGTCTTAGAATAATTAACCCTTTATTTGTTTGCTACTTTTAAAGAGAGTGGGGGTTTCCAACACTGAAATTTCTAAGCTAAGACCTAAAACCCTACTCAAATTTCTCAGCTGAAAAGGCCTTTGGCTACCAAATCCAGAAAACCAAATCAACCCAATAGTTTTTGTTAGTTAGACTACTCTACAAATGCATCTAGGCCAAAACAAAAACAAAAACAAAAGTAATACCTTTTGCTCGTTTGCCAATATCTGAAAATGGAGCCGGACCGTTCCCCATATCTAATCCAAAAATCAAAAATGGAAATCTATGCTATCACAACCTGTCAAATAGAGTCACAATTACAATAATACCATACATTACAGAGGTAGAGAGAGAAACATAATACATTTCTAGAGAGAGAGAGTTCTTACAGAAGACGACGATCGCCGGCGAACCCCGGCGAGGTTTCAGGCGAACCGTCGTACACACACAGCGAGGCGTAGAGAGAGAGAAAGAGAGAGAGAGAGAGAGACGAGGGGGGCTACAAGCGGAGGCGAAGCGCACAGGTCAGGGTGAGATAGCGAAAAGAGTTACACTCTGCCCCTTTATGTTTGATATTTTTTTACTTTGGCCTCTTTTTGAAATTTATTTTTTGCATATTTTTCAGTAAAAAAAATCACTTCTCAAAGCATGCCTTTGATTCTTCAAATTTATTTTTTTTCACTGTGATTCTTTATTTTAGAGCCAACTAAATTAGATAATATTAAATAAAAAATATCACGTTAATTTGCACGTAACATAAAATATATATATTATTATATTAGGATATGAATTTGTATATGTGAATTATATATAATAAAATATTTTAAAATAAATTATAAAATAAAATAAAAAAATAAATATTTAACTCTAGCAACAAATTAAACCCTGAAATTTTAATTTCTTTGATTTAAACTTTGAATTTTCACTTAGATGTTGGATATAATCTTAAAAGCTTTACATGTTGTGTATGTTATGTATATATAACAAGGAGATAAGTTTATTTGCATATTTCATCTCTTTATATTTATTCATACCCCTTTTGTGGACCTTGATTCAAACTTACTTTGATAATTTAAATCGTTTATTTCACAGATTTCATAGTAAGGTTATGCATACAAAAATTTAAATTTATTGGATAACTATAAACATATAAACAAATTACATTTTATTTTATAAAATGAATGGTTTAAGTTTGCAATTCTATTTGCTATTTGACCTCGGTGGGCCCACAAAAGGTTTTGGCCCACGACTTACAGTTTAAGTACTAAAGCCTAACACCCTTGAGAAGTCAATGTTGAACCAGGGACCAATGACATCTAAACACTTGTCAAGCAAGATGACCAACCACGTAAGCAAACAAAGATCTTGCAGAGTTATTGCATCACACATCAGCCATTAATAAGGCTCTCACAGTATTAAATGCGATAACCCCTTCACGTCAGAACATGTAGCCTCACCGTGAACACTGCAAGCTAGAGTATAGACTTTCGGCCAACACGACAGGTCAAAGTGGACAAGGAAATGGTGGACAAAGAAATGATGGACAAAGGCTATAAGGAAGTTTCCAAGACACATCAAAGGTTAAGTTGATCATTCTTCCTCTCTCTCTCTCTCTCTCTCTCTCTCTCTCTCTCTCTCTTTTTACATAGTCAATCTCCTTTATTCTAATTTGATCGTCGGAGGGTTCGCTGAGGGACTCCTCTTCCCCGTCGGAACTTTTTGCAGGCACCACCATCGAGCTCCGAGACTGGTAAAAGGTATTGAAAGCGTAGGTCTGCTCGACTCGTCCTCCCTTGGATCAACAACATCATCAGTTGGCGCTATCTGTGGGAAACGCCACTTCGGTTAACAGTTGTGCTCATTGTTGCCGGAGACTCGTTCCTTATAATTTCTCCTTACGTGGATAACTATAAACATATAAACAAATTACATTTTATTTTATAAAATGAATGGTTTAAGTTTGCAATTCTATTTGCTATTTGACCTCGGTGGGCCCACAAAAGGTTTTGACCCACGACTTACAGTTTAAGTACTAAAGCTTAGCACCCTTGAGAAGTCAATGTTAAACCAGGGACCAATGGCATCTAAACACTTGTCAAGCAAGATGACCAACCACGTAAACAAACAAAGATCCTGCAAAATTATTGCACCACACATCAGCCATTAATGAGGCTCCCACAGTATTAAATGCGAGAACCCCTTCACGTCGGAACAGGCAACCTCACCGTGAACAATGCAAGCTAGAGTATAGACTTTCGGCCAACACGACAGGTCGAAGTGGACAAGGAAATGATGGACAAAGGCTATAAGGAAGTTTCCAAGACACATCAAAGGTTAAGTTGATCATTCTTCCTCTCTCTCTCTCTCTTTCTACATAGTCAATCTCCTCTGTTCTAATTTGATCGTCGGAGGGTTCACTGAGGGACTCCCCTTTCCTGTCGGACCTTTTTGCAGGCACCACCATCGAGCTCCGAGATTGGTAAAAGGTGTTGAAAGCGTGGGTCTGCTCGACTCGTCCTTCCTTGGATCAACAACATCATCAGTTGGCGCTATCTGTGGGAAACGCCACTTCGGTTAACAGTTGTGCTTATTGTTGCCGGAGACCTGTTCCTTATAATTTCTCCTTACCTTTCATCGAGATGGATGGTTACAACGAGATCCATGGCTTCTCAACACAATGTCGTTGACCTCCAAACCCAAACAACCCACTTTAGTAATTCACAGAGTTCACCAACAGCATCAACCGCTTAGCCGAACAAAACCAGGCCTTGATCAACGTTTTACTCCAACGAAATCTCCATATACCTCTTCCACCACCACAAGATATCCTTTCCAATCGAGAACAGACCCTGGGCCATCATTTCCAACAAGCCCACTTTTCCAACCTAAAGGGTCTACAAGCCCCACCTCAAGACATGAACCCACCACCTGGGGCTTACATCCATCAATTCAAGCACCTGTCTCTGAAGGAGAAACTAGTAGAGTTCAGCCCCTACTACACTTTGAGGGGACAATGTTCCTATTTGGGATGCGAAACTCTGAGCCATGAAACTCCAGCTTCAGGGAGTTATGCAGAACATACAGAATAAACCCTCCACAACAGTCAACTCCCCATTTATCGCCTCTATCAGGAACAAACCCCTACCCCCCAAGTTCAAAATGCCCTCGATCGACACCTTCGACGGCACAACCGACCCGGTTGACCATTTGGAGACCTACAGGACCCTCATGATCCTCCGCTGCTTTCCTTGACGAAATCATGTAACGGGCTTTCCCCGTGACACTTAAGGAGTCGGCTCGACTATGGTTTAGTCAGCTACCGCCGGACTCTGTCTCTACTTTCCAACATCTAAATGATTCATTCCTGAGCCATTTCATTGGCGCTCAGCAACTCAATTGCTTAATATCCGGCAGACGAAAGGGGAGTCACTACGCAGCTTTGTCACCCGTTTCAACACCGAGGCCCTACAGGTGGCGGAAAACGATGACAAGGTCATCCTCACAGCCTTCATGGTCGGTTTACGACCATCCGATTTCCTTTTCTCCTTTTCTAAAACCTCCCCAACCTCCATGGCTACCCTCCTTTTCAAAGTCCAAAAATATATGAATGTTGAATACTCTTTGGCAGCCTGCCAAGATTCCATACCTAAAAATCCACCCCCTAAGGACAAAAGAAAAGAACCCGAACCCAGATCCTCCCAATATACACATCAACCCTATCAATATATTGACCGACGTGCTCGAGCCGACCGACCGGCACTTACCCGACCACCCGGTCAGTTCGAATGATACACCCCTCTCAATTTCCTCATGGAACAAGTCTTGAACCAAATTCAATGAGACTACAACCTGAAATGGTCTCAACTATCACGATCTCCCTCTAACCGATGAGATTAATCCAAGTACTACCGTTTCCATCAAGACAACGACCACAACACTGAGAAATGTGTTAACCTTAAAGATTAGGTAGAGGATTTGATATGCTAGGGGTGCCTCAGTTGGTTCACGACAGCCCGTCCCCAACAACAGCTGAGGACCGACCCGCCGAGAGACCGTCGTCGACATACCTCCCCGATAACCCGCACAACCTAAGCGAGACAATTATCGACTCCCGTCATAATCTCGGGCACAAGGCAATCTCCCTCCAGTCGGTGAGATCAAAGTCATCGCTGGCAGGCTCACATACGAAGGGCCATCTCGATCGGCACAGCGAGCCGAACTTAGAAAAATTAGACAAGGCTTCGATAAGGAAGTAACGACATTGGATTGCCCCTTCAAACATCCCAAGCAATGATCTGAACCCATCACCTTTACAGAGGCCAACTGCATAGGCATCTGTTATCCCTACGACGACCCCCTCGTCATCTCTGCTTTCCTATCTAACTACAAAGTCAGACTGGTCCTTGTCGACAACAACAGCTCTTCAGACATCATTTTCCTGAACGCCTATCGCCAACTCAAGGTAGGCAAAGAAAAGTTGTCCCTTCTCCAAACCCCACTAGTTGGCTTCACCGAGGATCGGGTGACCTCCATAGGCTCCATCGATCTTTCCATTACCATTGGAGAATATCCACGACAGACCACTAAACTACTCACTTTCTTCGTCGTCAAGTATTTTTTTACTTATAACATCATTCTCGGAAGCACGGCTCTTAACGCCTTCCAAGTTGTCACCTCCACATACCATCTAGCCATGAAATTCCCGATCGAGCTCGGCGTTGGCACAGTGAGGGGCAAGCAGACAATGGCCAGAGAGTGCTACGTCGCCTTGCTAAAGGAGGTCAAAATGAAGGAGGCTATGATCATCGAGGGTTTCGACGTCAAAGACAATGACGAGTTAGTTAGAGGGGAACCAGTGGAGGAACATGTCAAAGTGCCTATTGATCCTACCAGTTTAGCCAAAACAGCCAAGATTGGCAGTCAACTGTCCTCTCAGGCCAAGGCTGATCTCACAGCTCTCTTAGCCGAGCACCACAATGTCTTCGCTTGGACCCATTCAGACATGCCAGATATCAATCCCTCTTTCATTACATATTGTCTCAGTATTAAGCCCCACTTCCGACCTTTTTGCTAGACGTAGTGTATTTTTTACCCAGAACGCAATTTCCTCATCACCATCGAGGTGGACAAACTACTGAAGGCACAATTCATAAAAAACGTAGCCTACCCTAGGTGGTTGTCCAACGTGGTCTTGGTCTACAAAAATAATGGCAAATGACGACTCTGCGTCGACTATTCCGACCACAATCGGGCTTGCCCTAAAGATAGCTATCTCATTTCTCAAATAGATCTGTTAGTTGATGCAAGTGCAGGACATCAGATGCTTAGCTTCATAAATGCCTTATCCGGTTACAATCAAATCCTGATGCACCTGGCCGACCAGGAGCACACCTCCTTCATCACCGACAGAGGGACTTATACTATCATGTTATGCCATTTGGCTTGAAAAATACCGGAGCAACTTACCAACGCCTGGTTAATACCGTTTTCCAACACCAGATAGAGCGGAACATAGAAGTCTACGTAGATGACGTGCTAGTCAAGAGTAAACTC